ACTTTATTTGAGAGAATCAAAAGTCTGTTGTAGAAAATCTCCAGAAATCTAATTAGCACAAAATCTTATTTATTATATTTAGAAGGATCTGAATCCAGACATCTCCCATCACACCTCAGAATATGAATAACCAGACTAATCCTTTATCCAAAAAAATCTTCTTTTCTTTACAGTTCTTTTATACCATGATGGGAGGGATCTGGCTTGATGAATATGGATTGGCTTTTCTTATTTGATGGAAATCCCACGGACTCTCTGGCAAAAGCAGTACCGGGTCTTGGGCAGGGGAAACGTCTATCTGTTTTGTGAAAGGGGGGAAGGCCCCACAGAAATAAGAAGAACTAGTGGCTATTCTATTCAATTCAATTAAATTTTAATTTGTATAGCGTCCAATTCATAACAGAAGTTATCTCAGGACACTTTTGAAATAGAAGCAAGGTCTGAGACGAACTCCTTTTCTAAACATTTACAGAGTATCCATCCTCAAACTAGTCATCAACCATGAGCAAAGACGTTGCAAACGGGGAAAGAAAAAACTGCTCTTATAAAGGCAGAAACCCTCGACAGGCCCAATTCGGCTCTAGGTGAAGGTGGTCATCTCCGTTGATCCAGTTGCGGATGTGGGAGAGAAGTCGAGATGTCGACGAGAGACGAGAGACAACGAGACGACCCCGGGCGCGCGACAGACAACGACCCTCACGCCCGAGACAACACCGTGCACGACAGAGCGAGCTCCCGTACGATTAATAGTAATGAATCGATGACGATCATGAAATTAAGGAATCCTGGGGTACTGTATCGACAAGCAGACAACGATGAGGGACAGCGAGCACGCGATCATATAGCGCGGGGAAATGTCCAGGTCCAGATGGATTTCCAATAGAATTTTATAGAAAATTTCTTTTAATTGACATGTTTAATAAATCGTTTTTGTTATCTAAACTTCCACCGACTCTAATGCAGGCTACAATCTCACTTATTTTAAAGAAAGATAAGGACCCCCTACTGGCCACAAGTTATCGACCCATAAGTTTGTTGTCTGCAGACCTGAAACTTCTGTCTAAACTCCTTGCCATGCGCTTTGAATGAGTTCTTCCCTCCATCATCTCTCCGGACCAGACAGGATTTATTCGTGGTAGATATTCTTTTTCTAATCTCAGGCGGCTTTTTAACATCCTATACAATCTCTCCTCGTCATGCACGCCAGAAGTCTTCATTTCGCTGGATGCGGAAAAGGCTTTTGACCGGGTGGAGTGGGATTATCTTTTCTATACCCTACAGAAGTTTGGTTTTGGCAATAAGTTTATTTCCTGGGTGAGACTGTTATACACTTCACCCACAGCATCCATTAGAACCAATAACATCCTCTTTGATCATTTTCCTCTCCACCGCTCCACCCAGCAAGGCTGTCCTCTGAGTCCCCTTCTGTTTGCTATTGCAATTGAACCTCTTGCTGTAGCCCTTCATTCACACCCTCGTGTCAGAGGCATACTCAGGTATGGTGTTGAGCATACTATCTCACTTTACGCAGATGATCTTTTAGTGTACATTTCGGACCCCTCGATCTCAATCCCACCTCTTTTGACCATGTGTCTGGCTACAAACTTAATCTGACCAAAAGTGAGATTTTTTCCTTGAATTCGGCAGCAAGGCGCTTCCCACTGCACAACTTTCCATTCAAGGTTGCTTCAGATAGTTTTGTGTACTTAGGTATTCGGGTCACAGCTCAGTTCGAGGACTTATTTAAATCTAACATTCTCCCGTTTGTTGCTAAGATGCAATATGACTTTGAGCGCTGGCCTTTATTAAATTTATCCTTCGTAGCCCGAGTCAACTATATCAAAATGAACACCCTTCCAAAGTTTTCCTATTCATTCCAATGTCTACCCATCTTTCTTCCACAGTCTTTTTTTTCCAAGATTGATAAATTAATAGCTGAATTTATCTGGAACAAGAAGACCCAGAGACTACGAAGACCCTTGCTTCAGAGACTAAAATCTCAGGGGGGTTTGGCATTGCCAAATTTTAGATTTTATTACTGGGCCTGTAACTTAAGAGCAATCCAGTTCTGGCTTCATTTTGAGGGCTCCGCTTCGCTCCCAACATGGATAGTTATGGAATCCATGTCTGCCAAACTAGCTTCATTGTCTGCACTTGTTCATGCTCCTGTAAATCACCCCATTTCACCAATATTCAAATTCAATCAATATTCAAAGAGTATAATAGTTAAATCTACTGTGAGGGTATGGAGACAATTTAGACGATATTTCGGCCTTCAGGCTCCTTGTTGACTGTCCCCGCTTACACCAAACCTGTTATTCCACCCTTCACTAATAGATGGAGAATTCTCTTCCTGGCAGGCGTGAGGTATCAGAACAATCAAGGACTTGTATAATGATGACATATTTTCATCTTTCCAGCAGCTTTCAGAGAAGTTGGCTCTTCCTAAAAATAACTTTTTCAGATATTTACAGATCCGTAGTTTTGTTAGAAATGTTTGTACCGGATCCCACTGACCTGGCCCATTCTTGACCCCGCTGCCTGCTACGAGGGGCATGATCTTTGTGTTATATAATCTCATTCTCTCTTTAAACCCAGCCTCACTTCGTACTATTAGGATGCTATGGGAGAATGACTTACAATGTGAACTTGCAGATGATGTTTGGGATGAGTGTCTGCAGCTGGTTCATTCTTCCTCCATATCTGCTAGGCACGGATTGCTACAATATAAGGTTCTTCATCACTATCATTTTACTAAGGTCCGCCTGTCTAAAATATATGGTGATGTTGATCCTATTTGTGACAGATGTCGCCAGTTCCCAGCTACCTATTTTCATATGCTTTTTTTATGCTATTTCACAGATCACCTTGGTCTCTTTCACACCATCTGTGGTCACTGCCCTATTTGGAGTCACCCTCATACCTGCTATACCAAATTATAAGAAGAACCTGGTAGCTTTTGTAAACCTCTTAGCTAGACGTCTCATTCTTATGAAATGGAAATCCCAGACTCCACCAACCTGCCATGAACGGATAAAGGACATTTTTTACTTTATTAATATGGAGAAAATCCGTTGCATGAGGGGATCTTCTGCTACTTGAAAACACGGGGGCCATTTTTTTGAGTATGCAAATAAGTTGACTTTTCCTAATATCCCGAACTGACAAACAACCCCTGTACATGGTCTGATCTGTTTTAATGACATGCTTTGTACAGATGTATGTGATTGTACACTTCAATGTGACTTTAATAACTGCCAGTTGTGTAACTGTCTAATTCTTCATTTTGTATAGGTGACCTACTTTTTTTGTTGTTGTTTTTGTTTGTTTGTTGTTTTATTATTTTGTTTGTTTGTTTGTTTATATATTTATATACAAGTGTCTTGTACACTGTTTGTCTTTATTTGAGTTTTGTGATAATAATTACACCACTCGCATCTGTATTTTGACAATTTAGGAATTACTTGGGCTGTGAAGTGTGTAGGAGAAACTATGGTGGCTGCAAAAACACAAAAGGTCCTATCTAGAGCCAGTGTTTGATTTGTCCGTTCTGGGCTACTGTAGAAACATGGTGGTTCAACCACAGAGATAAAAAAAACAGCTCATTCTAAGTTAACAAATTCACGATTCTTATTTTCAGGTGATTATAGGTGAAAACTAATATTATATTTCATTTCTGACAAAAGATCCTTTAAAATGTTATACACTGGACCTTTAAATAACATAGGTCTCAATCATTGGTTTTACTCTTTATTGAAATTCCATATTGGTATCAATATGTTACATTCATTTTAAGCCCTGTTCTTAGTAGATAGTAGTAGTATACTGCTGCCTTTGGCAGTAAATATTTGTTGGATAATACAAAACGTGTGTGTGTGTGTGTGTGTGTGTGTGTTTGTGTGTGTGTTATTTCAACTCACAGTGCATAGTCAGGGATGATTTTCTTGGTGAAGAACTCCTCTACTCCTTCATCAACTCTACCCATCACCTCAATGGCTTCATTTTCTACCTTTGAAACTGGCTCCTGTAACAAAAAACACAGTATAACATACAGTGGTACACCCTGCATTGTGTGTGTGGTGTGTGTGTGTGGGTGTGTTTGTCTGCCTTCCAGAAGAGAAAATTCACACCAAAATTCTATTAATTCATCTATGCATCAATCTACCTGCTTATTCCTATTCAAACGATACTGTGACATTTGGGAAATCTTGTTATGAGTCAGAGAGAATATGAGAGAAAGGCACTACACAACATCCAGCATCATTATTCACAACTTTTTTCATAATATCTGTAAAGCATGTATTATCAGGAAAACAGAATGAATTTAAAGATGCCGTTGGTCATTTTTACAAAAAAACCCTTTTTGTCATATTTTCTTAATTTTTCACTATATCCTGACAGTAGTACATGAGAGATATAATGTGTGAAAAAATCAGGTTCCTCTGGCTCCTCCTAGTGCTCCTAATGGTATTTGCAACAATCCACCGGGCCTGAAAGAAAACAACCAGATGCTTTGGGCTGGTGGCTGCGAAGGATAGTTGATTGTTTATTTTCATTCCCAGCTCAATATACTCGTATACTATTTATAAACTTGGAATGAGAGCTCAACAATCAACTATCTTCCTTCCTTTAACACACTGTACATTTATACTGTATTCTAACATAACTTATCAGCCCATACATTTAAGCTCATTTGCATTTTTCATTATTAGTGCAACTGTAGATTAAAAGCACTCTGTTGAATTTGAAATGGATGTGCTGAAGCTGCTGTGGACTAAGCAATAGTAGCTCCAGTTCAGGACAGTTATCACGTGCAAGCATTATTCTAACTGGGTCAAGCCCAGTCTGCAGAAACACACATACAGTATATTAGCCTACCAGAGTTGCAATTGTTGATCCAAGCCTTCTGCTAACCCTTAAAAACCAATGTCATTTTTTACATTTCTGTCTGTTTCTATATGTAGCAGCACATGGTGATTGGTCACTTCAGCTAATCTGTGGTATTACCAACTCAAGAAAATATCATGAAGGCATTAGTTAACTTATATTTGAAGGTGAAGTGGGTATCCTGACACCAACCTGTTAGGTCCCAGCACATGAGGCACATGGCTGAGACTAAAACAAGCAGAAGGATTCAATGTAGGGGAGGGACAAAGGCAAGACAAACCGGAAAACCGGAAACCAGTCAGTATCTGGTGGTGACCAAGCATTTGCCCTCACCACAGTGCAAACGAGCATTCCTCCTGCGCAGTAGAGGCTTGATTCAGGTTGTTGATTGTAGCCTGTGGAATGGTTGCGGTCCACTCCTCTAATGGCTGTGCGAGAGTGCTGATATATTGGCAGGACGCTGTGTTACGGGACCGCGCTTGTTTGTGTGTAACTGGAGCACACCTCTGTGAGCAAAGCTAATGGAGCTGAATCACGCCTTAAAAACAGAGTCAATACATTCCCTCATAACCTAC